TCGGTGGTTAAGAACACTCTTGGCTCTCCCAGAGGACCTGAGTTCAGTTCCCAGGACCATGTCAAAAGGCACACAACCGGCCATAACTCCAGCTCCAAGGGACCTGACACTCTGGCACCTGCACGCCTGTGTGCCCACCCACACGCAGACACACACCTACACGTAATTAAAACTCACAACCCGAACTCTTTTCAAAGCAAACAGTGCTCAGGTGTCATTATCTGCAGTCTTCCTTGGCTACAAAGAACAGCCATAACAAGCAGGGCATCATTATCAGAGCTCATACACACACAGGGTGGATCTTATGCCCTTCGTTTGGGCTTCACAACAACTAACTCACAGTGGCCCGCTAAGGCCACACAGATCCTTTCTTCCCACTGTCTTGAGCTTCGGAGCTATTCTTAGACTTGCCCGAGCTCCCTGACTGGTTGAGGCCAGAATTCAAATCCAGCCAGGTTATCCGTTGAACGGCTGCTTTTAACACCCATGTCCGGTTCCTTGTGGCCTGTTGCAAAGGCGGGGCAGCAACAGAGCAAGCTCTGTGGAGTCCAGACTGCTGGCTACGGTCAAGACCGTGCACAGCTGCCCTCACTTTGGGAGGCTATGGAAACCGTCACTGTGGCCTAGCAGGCAGAAATGGAGGTTCCCAAATGAGCCTTGAAGGTGATATCTGCTGATCCACCAAGATGTGAGGATAGACCTGCTCCTGCTGGCAAGCCTCCCCTCTAGGATGAGGTGTCCCCTGAAGCCACCACGAGTCACTACAGGCCTCGCCTAACTCAATGACTTCAGTCATTGAAACATGAAGATCAGGAATACAGCTGCCAAATGCTGAATCTCTCTCTCTCTCTCTCTCTCTCTCTCTCTCTCTCTCTCTCTCTCTCTCTCCCACTTAGACAGATACCCATGATCAGCCTCTAGGCAGTAGTTATCCTTCTAAAACAAACACCAGACTACGTCAGCGCCGTTCTGTAAAGACTCAAGGGCCTTCACCCCTGTAAAGAAGCCCTCTGTTCTACTTCCTGTAGTCCCCTCTGGTCCCAGCACACTTGTTTGAAGGTCGTCTCCCTCTTTCCAGCACAGTCTGTGCTCCTGTTGGTGCTGTGCTCAACACTCCCTTATTTTTTCTTTTTTGGCTTTTTCGAGACAGGGTTTCTCTGTGGCTTTGGAGGCTGTCCTGGAACTAGCTCTTGTAGACCAGGCTGGTCTCGAACTCACAGAGATCCGCCTGCCTCTGCCTCCCGAGTGCTGGGATTAAAGGCGGGCACCGCCACCACCGCCCAGCTATTTTCTTTCTTTTTAAAAAATGATTTATTCCTTGTTATTTAAGTGTACGAATGTCTGCACAATGTCCAAGGAGGCCAGAAGATGGCGCCAGATACAGTTGTGAGTTGCCTTGTGGGTGCTAGAGATGGAACCCAGGCCCTCTGCAAGAACAGCCAGAGGTTTTAACTGCTAAGCCAGGCCCCACCCCTTATGTCTCTTCCATGGCTCTTCATTCAAGAGCCCACCCGAGTTCAAGCTCTGTTGGCCTCCTACCTATTGCTGGACACTGGACCACGGTAATCTTTTCAAAACCACACCATGCTTCCGTTTTTTGCTCACACAAACCTCACAGAGGTCCTGGGGTCAACCGGGGAGAGACCCTGGGACCCTGATAGCTGTGGCTTCCTTTTCTGCTCTGGGATCCCTCCCTTCCACATTCTCCCACCATGACGCCGTCTACCTGACCACATAACCAGAACAACGGGACCACTAGCTCTGGATGTCCAAACCTCCCAAATGGTGAGCTGAATAAACCTCTTTGTTTCCTAAGCAGTTCGCCTCAGGTCTCTTGTTATAGTATGAAAAGCCGACTAACAGACACAGCTTAGGCTCCAAGTGTTGTAAAAGTTGTGACGGCATGAACTTTAAGGTACATTGTTAGGTGGGACAAAGTGCAGAGGAGAAGGAAGCTAACACACACCTCCTCCCTCTGGGTAAACATTCAAAGGCCCTAAAGTCACACATGAACTTAAAGAAGCTGCAGACACTTCCCAAGATCTCATGGGAAATGCCTACCATGGTCTCTAAGCCCTTTGGTATAAACTAACCATTTGGGGTTTGTTGTTGTTGTTGTTGTTGTTGTTTTCTTTTGTTTGTTTGTTTGTTTTGTCTTTATTTTTGTTTTTTAACAGGGTTTCTCTATAGCTATGGAGAAACCCTCCTGGAACTCACTCTGTAGGCCAGGTTGGCCTTGAAGTTACAGAGATCCACCTGCCTCTGCCTCCAGAGTGCTGGGATTAAAGGCGTGTGCTGCCACCATCAGGCTTTTTTCATTTTTTTAAAAAAGACTTATTATATTATATATACAGAGTTCTGCTTTCATGTATATCTGCACACCAAAAGAGGGCACCAGATCTCATTAGAGATGGTTGTGAGCCACCATGTGGTTGCTGGGAACTGAACTCAGGACCTCTGGAAGAGCAGTCGGTGCTCTTAACCTCTGAGCCATCTCTCCAGCCCCCAACCATCTATCTATCCACCCACCCGCCCATCTATCTGGCACAGGGTCTTACAGTGTACGCCAGGGTGGCCAGGAACTCAGCCTTCCTATGTCACTTATCCAGATGACAGGATTCCAGGTATACGTTAGGTTCCGTTTTATCTGAGCATTTTTATTGCATTACTCTGTGATAGAAGTCAGTTTTCAAGTTCTCTCTGACCGGGGCAAGTCCACCCCGGGATGATGAGCAGAGAGAACCGGGGATGGCCTCAGCTGCTCCTGCCACATTGTATAGGTGGGAGACAGGGGGCCTGACCACACCAAGGCCAAACTGCCACTGACCTCCCCCGACCCACTATTCACCACGGGGGGTGTCTGCGCTCACCATGGATGAGGTGGAGTCCAGGAGGCTCACAATCTTCATCTCAACATGCTCCCCTCCAAAGCTCTTTAGCAGCTTCATAACCTCACCCACGGTCAGCCACTTACAATCTATGCCTTGAATGGAGACGATGTAATCTCCTTCCTTGGTTCCTGCCAGCTAAAAAGAAACGTTGGAATAAATGTCAGGGGTTATTCGTTAAATCCCAGACGGGGTCCCCAGATTCTTGGTCTAAGTGGCCACTGCTGAGGGTCTGTTTTGTTTTGTCTTTTGATTTTTCTGTGGTACCTCCACATGCTAACTAAGTGCTCCAACACTGAGCTATATCCCCAGCCCTCATTTACAAAAGAGTTTACTACCAAAAGTAAAAATTCATTTGCGGAGTGGTGGTGGTGGTGGTGGGTAGGAAGCATCCAGAGGCTTTTCACTTAAGAGTCAGACTGTCGACATCGCCAAATCCCAAACCTCTTCCCCCACCCCCGTGGGCCCTCCCACTTACCGAAGCAGAGCAGCGAGGGTCCAGGAAGTGCACCTGGACTGGAGCGTTCCCTCGCAGAGTGAAACCCAGGTCCCCCTCCTCCACTGTGAAGTGAATCCCTCGAGGAGGTGTCCATCTCTTGTTGGCCGAAAACACAGACAGGGGTCCCTTGGGAAGAGAGGGCCATGTGGTGAAGGGTTTGGAGGCCGAGCTGCCATGTGGCCCAGGCTGGTCTCGAACACATAAAGTCAAGGGATTTCCCTGTCTTTGGTTTTCAACCAGCTCCATTGTGCCTAACATCACAGGGGCAGTGCGTGCTGGTGCAATCATATAGGAGGTTACACCGGTCTCTAACATATCCAGTACATTTCAAAGAAAAGTGTCTTTTAGAAATTCATTCATATTCTCTCTATTAGGGTTCAAACCCAGGGCTTTGTGAATGTTAGGCTAGAACATTGAGACCAAGCTGTACCCCTGAACCTACTATCTTAATAGGGCCAGGCATGATAGCACACGCCTTTAATCCCAACTCTCAGGAGGCAGAGGCAGGTGGATCTCTGTGAGTTTGAGGCCAGCCTGATCTCTATAGCAAATTCCAGGGCAACCAGAGCTACATAATGAGACCCTGCTTAAAAAAGAAAAACAAAAGGCTCTCAAGATTTGAAAGTCAATAACATGTGATGCTGGGGAGTACTCAGCAGCTGAGCGCACCGGTTGCTCTCTTCCAGAGGACCCAAGTTTAGTTTCCACACGGCAGTTCACAGCCACCTATGACTCCAGCTGCAGGGACTCTAATGCCTCTTGTCACCACCAAGGGTACCTGCAGTCACCTACATGAACCCACATGCAGACACACCCTCACATAATTATACAATAGTAATTAGTGATTAGTAATGTTTTAAAGTTAATAACACGGAATACTTCTCATGCTAATTTGAAAAGAAAAAGGCAGGGCAAGGCGGTGCACACCTTCGATCCCAGCACTCAGGAGGCAGAAACAGGTGGATCTCTGTGAGTTCGAGAGCAGCCTGGTCTACAGAGTCAGTTTCTAAGATAGCCAGGGCTACACGGAGAAACCCTGCCTCAAAAGAAAATAGTAAATAAACAAAGAGAAAAGTTAAAAGGTTCAAATCGTCAGGTAATTCATAAAAGAAGTGGTCAAATATAGTTAGTTAGTGGCCGACGTACCAGCTTCTGGAAGAAGTCTGTGACTGTCACCTTGGAGAACTGTGGGGAGGTTATTTCGGCCTCTCGCTCAGGTTTTGCTAGAAAAGAAGATTACAGATTGGGGTGAGTGGGTGTGTCACGGAGAGTAATTCTTGAAAACTCAGGTCTCAAGGCCTCCTCTCCAAAGACACTAAACTCAAACACTTTAAACTCTTCGTAGAGTGGATGGATTTCCTCCTCGGGCCTGGCCCTGGTGGCCATGCTTTTGTTGGGGCTGGGACTGAGACAGCCAGACAAAACGCCATTTTCAAGGGCTTGTTGATGTAGTGGTTCTCAACCTTCCCAATGCTGTGACCCTTTGATGCAGTTCCTCGAGCTACGGTGACCCCAACCATAATATTATTTCACTGCTGCTTCCCAGCGGTCATTTTCTACTGTTAGGCATCATTCTGTAAAGCTCTGGGCTTTCCGGTGGTCTTGGGCAATCCCTGCAAAGAGGGTCATTTGACCCCAAAGGAGTCTCCACCCACAGGCTGAGAACTGCTGTCCTAGAGAAAGCCACGGCCACCAAGGCAGACGGCCCGCGTTCAGTAACCACCCTGCTGGGTCCTTCAGAGCATCAAGAGGACGCTGGGCTTGTGTCTGCTCTAGAGCGGTGAGGCCGCTTCCTGGGCCGTGGTCCGTCCTCCTGGGCCGAGGGGGACACAGCTTCCTGCTTCCTGCTTCCTCCTGATGTGGGGCACCCGGGACACAAACCTGATCCCCGAGCAGCAACTCTTGGTCTGTTTTTGGTTGTGCTCCAGATCAAATGACGGACCTACTCACACCAGGAAGTGCACAGAGCCACGCCCAGCCCCTCCCTGGGGGACTCTAGGCAGGGGCTCTACCACTCAGCCACGCCCCCAGCCCCTCATTGGGGGATTCTAGACAGGGGCTCTACCCCTGAGCCACGCCCCCAGCCCCTCACTGGGGGATTCTAGGCAGGGGCTCTACCACTGAGCCACGCCCCA